CCAAAATATGACCACCTGAATTTGGAGACTATCTGATGAATAGATTTGATGCATTGAACATCAATGACCAAAAACCAGATGAATTGTATGATGACATGAAAAACATCATACGTGAAGAAAACAGATCATTAAAAACACCAGAAAGGAAGAAAAGACAATAATGTATGTTAGACAGGATTCTGAAACTTGCTTTTCAATGGAGAGTAGCTAAAGCAATAGAAGGAATGACAAGATAAAAGAGCTGAACAGAAGATTTCTAAGAGCAGCTCAAGAAGACAAAGTCATTTACTATAATGAAATGTGCAGAGACCTGAAGTTAGAAAACCAAAAGGGAAGAACACATTCTCATTTCTCAAGCAGAAAGAACTGAAGAAAAAATTCCAGCCTCGAGTTGCGATATTGAAAGATTCTATGGGGAAAATTTTGAATGATGTAGGAAGCATTAGAAGAAGATGGAAGGAATATACAGACTTACTGTACAAAAAGAATTAGTTGATGTTCATCCATTTCAGGAGGTGGTATATGAACAAGAACCAGTGGTATTGAAGGAAAAAGTTGAAGCTGCACTGAAGAACTTGGCAAAAAACAAAGCTCCAGGAATTGATGGGATACCCATTGAGATGTTTCAACAAACGGATGCTGTGCTGGAGGCACTTACTCATCTATGACAAGAAATTTGGAAGACAGCTACCTGGCCAACTGACCGGAAAAGATCCATATTTGTACCCATTCCAAAGAAAGGTGATCCCACAGAATGTGGAAATTATCAAACAATATCATTAATATCACACACAAGTAAAATTTGGTGAGATAAAGTCTCGCTTCCAAGGAGTATTCTGGCTGCACTTCTTACAGTGCATATTTGTTAGTTCTCCTTTCAGTGTGTGGTACTTTCAGCATTTTTCACCGATACCACAACTAAAGAACATCAAATATCAGCTCTTCTTTGGTCTTCCTTATTCATTGTCCAGCTTTCACACACATATGAGACGACTGAGAATACCATTGCTTGGGTTAGGCACACCTTAGACTTCAGAGAGACATCTTCGCTCTTCAATTCTTTAAAGAAGTCTTTTGCAGCAGATTTACCCAGTGCAATATGTCCTCTGATTTCTTGACTGCTTCTTCCATTGATGTTGATTTTGTAAATAAGTAATATGAAACCTTTGACAACTTCAGTCTTCTATTTATCGTAATGCTGCTTATTGGTCCAGTTGTGAGTATTTTCATTTTCTTAATACTGAGATGCAATCCATACTGCAGACTGCAGTCTTTAATCTTCATCAGTAAGTGCTTCAAGTCATCTTCACTTTCAGCAGACAAAGTTATGTAATCTGCATATTTGCAGGTTGTTAATGACTCTTCCTCCAATCATGATACCATGTTCTTGTTCTTATAGTCCAGTTTCTCAGATTATTGGCTCAGCATACAGTTTAAATAAATATGCAGAAAGGATACACCCTGATGTACTCCCTTCCTTATTTGAAACCATTCAGTATCCCCTTGTTCTGTTTGAACGACAGCCTCCTGGTCTATGTACAGGGTCCTCATGAGCACAATTAAGTGTTCTGGAATTCCCATTCTGCGCCTAACCCAAGCCAGGGTATTTTCAATCACCTCTTATGTATGTGAAAGCTGGACGATCAATAAGGAAGACTGAACAAGAGTTAATGCTTTTGAGTTGTTGTGTTTGTGAGGAATACTGAAAGTACTGTGGTTTGCCAGAATGAACAAATCTGTCCTGGAAGAAGTGCATCCAGAACGGACTTTGGAAGCAAGAATGGCCAGATTTTGTCTCACCTACTTTGGTCATGTTGTCAGAAGGCACCGTTCCCTGGAGAAGGATATCATGCTTGATAAGTGGAAGGTCTGCGAAAAAAGGGGAAGACCTTCAATGATATGGATTGACACAGTGATTGTAATGATGGGCTCAGGCATAGCAAGGTTTGTGAGGGTGGAGCATGACCAGGCAGTGCTTTGTTCTATTGTACAGGGGGTTGCTATGAATTGGAGCCATATGATGGCACCTAACAACAATAACAACAACATAAAATTCTTAGTTGACATTTTTTTTTTTTCCAGGTTTTATATATGTCATCCCATTGCCTGCTAGCCTGCATGATATCCTCCATGAATTGAGAGCATAGTCATAGTGGTTGTGGTCATTGGTAACTTTTCATTTTTACTATGCTTTCAAGATTCTTTATCTTTGATTTTGGAGGGTTTGATTATGAAATGTCTTGGTGATTTTCTTTTGGAGTCTATCCTGTTTGGGTTTTATTGAGCTTCTTCAATTGATATCTTCTCATTTTTCATTATATTAGGGAAGTTATCTTCCAACAAATCTTCAACAATTTTCTTGGGTTGTATGTGTGTGGCTTCCTGTTCTGAAATTCCAATCACATAAAAGTTATTTCTCTTTATAGTTTCTCATAAATTTTAGACTTTTTTATTGTTCTTTTTTCTGATTGATCCTTTTAAAAAAATAGTAGTAGAGATTTATCTTCATTTTCACTAATTCTGTCTTCCTTTGATTCAGTGCCACTCCTTTGCCCTTTCAATATACTATCTATTTCTGAAATCCTAGTATTAAAGTTCTGGATTTCTATTTGCTGTTTTTGTATGATTTTTTATTTTTCATTTATTTTGTTTGTTCTTGTATTGTTTTACTATATTCTTCTAGATTTTTGTCTGTTTTCCTTAATTTTGTCAGTGCCTTCTTTTATTTTGTCAGTGTTTTCCTTGATTTTTTCAGGGTTTTCCTTGGTCTCCTAGTCCATTAAAAGTAGCTCAATATAATTCTTGTTAATTCCTTATCAGGTAGTTCTAATGCCACGTTTTTCCTCAGGACATTTTCTGGCTGTGTATCCTGGTTCCTTGTTTGAACTACTTTATCTTGCCTCTTTGTGTGAACTGTGATTTTCAGTTTTCTCTGAGACATTGTGATGTCTTTGTATTTATATTGGTGAGTCTGTGTTGGTGTGATTCACACAGGTTTTTGTTTTTTGTTTTGCTTGATTGTGTTTTGATAATCTAACCCAGCAGAACTGGTGTGTGCTACTCTGTTTGCTAGTTTGGCAGCAGTAGGCACTCACCACTTGTTTCCTGGCGGGTGTGATAGAGGATGAGAGAGTGTACAAATCTCTGTTAGCTGTTCATGTAGAGCTGTTCAGGGCAGCTTGGACTGGTATTGGCCATCATCTGTCATTGGTCATTTGGTACAGAAGTAGGTTGTGGCCCTCACTCAGTGAGTGGGGCTGCAGGAGGTGCAGGACATGTGTTTGGGTCATATGAGCATGGTTGCTTTCTGGTCATCAGCTATCGGTCTGAGTGCCTGTGAGTCCTCAGCAAGTGGAGCTGATTATCAGGTTACTGCCTAGATCAGAATGCTGGTTGCAGATATTCAAATGGCTGCACCTTCAAGCCAGTCAATAGTCCATTGTTCCATTTGACTCCTTATTCACTGTTTTCATTCAATTTCTTCCAATTGGTATTTAATCCACTTCTTTATACTTCCCTTAAAAGCTCAGGGTTCCGTGATTATCTCTTGTATCTGTTTCAGTTGGTTTTCTTGTTGTGGCTTGTCCGCTAGTTCCACCATCTTGCCAGAAGTATAGTTCAGTTAGTCACAAGTATACAATTTATTGACAACCCTTAACAGTAATTGGCTGTGCAAGCCTACCCTTAATGTTTGCAGTTTATTTAATTGGATAATATTGAAACTCAAAAAACAAAAGCACACAAATTAAAGTTTCTTCTTTACATTAATAATCCTCTCTCAGCAATAAAAACATTAGTAAAGATTTCCTATCTTTTTGACTTTTCTGTGTATGTGTGTGTGTTTGTGTGTGTGTATATATATACACACACACACACAATTTTTGTTAAAATTATCATATATATTTTTATCTATAACTCATCTTTTGTGTAGATATATTGTGTAGATACATCTATTGTGTAGATATATCATGATATTTTTAAAAGTGTTGGACCCTCTCCAGGTTCTCCTAAGCCTGATCATTGGTCCTCCTGACTATATTGTTACCTCTAGAAATCTTATGAAGAGTTTAATGTTTAAAAAAAAAAAAAAAGTAGAGGTCAGCAAAAAATGGGAAGACCCTCAGTGAGATGGATTGACACAGTGGCTGCTACAGTGTGCTAAAACATAATAATAATTGTGAGAATGGTGCAGGACTGGGCAGTGCTTAATTCTGTTGTATACAAGGTCATAATGAATTGAAACTGACTAGATGGCACCTAACAACTATGCTACAAGTTTTTTTTTATTTTCTCTAAGTGTGTAGTAATAATAGCAGTTTTCCCCAGTGACTTTTAAATCCATTATAAATGTACTTACAGGCTGGAAGGATGACATACATATATTTTAAAAAAATGTGTCAATATTACATGGTAAAGTAACTTCCTCATGAGGTGGTAAAAAGGGCAAGGCATGGTAAAACTATCAAATATTTCAGATTAATGTAATTTTAGAAAGGAAATTATAGCCAAACTGTCGTGATGACTCAGCAAAATTGTATTGACTAATGAAAACAGCATCTAACAACAATGAATAATTAAAGTATTTTATAAATATATATTTGTTCCTGAAGTTTAATAGATTTTATTTTAAAAATTAGAGTGCTAATAATAAGTTTCTTTTAAGTTAAATATTCAGTTTGGCTCTTTTAAAAAAAGAAAGGTAAGAAACCTTAACTATCCCAGAATATAAAATATATAAACAAATAAATAAGTAATCAGATCTTTGCTATTAATTTTCCTTGGATGTGTATAATTTCTATTAATTTATTTTACTTTTCTTCCTATTTTTATGATTGGAGAAAGAAATGTTTATGATTAGAGAAAAAATGCTATAATTCGATAAAAGAAATAATTTCTTCCTTATTTTCATGTTTTGAGTAAGGTAGTTTCACAACCAATTGGATTCATTTAACTGTTTTAACGAAGCTGACACAGGTTACTGAATGATGCTGTCTGTTTAGTGACTTCAGATGAAAGCAATAAAACTTGGGGAAAGAACACAGTCTGTCGCCAAGAAGAATTTGAAGATGTGAAAAGGAATTTCAAGAAAAAAGGTTGTACCTGGGGACCAAATTCAATTCAGATGAAAGAAAGAACTGACTGCAAAGAAAGGTACAAGTATGATAACCTTGGTTTTGCTTGTGACAGACAGCAGTGCCTCTTTCAGTGTGGTGTAGACCAGACTTATCTTTTAAAAAGCAGTTACTACAGATGGACTTGAATATTAATTTCATTCTTTAGGATGAGCTTATTAATACTAATTATGATTTAGTTAAGCACTTTAAAAACTTCCCTGATTTATTTTTGTATAACTTTAAGGTTTTATTTATACTTTGTTAGTTATTCAAGACTTAGAGTACATATGTGTTCTCTTCATTATCTTAAAAATACTGTAATTGCGGGGAGTTCCAGCAAGATGGCGAGCTAGGCACAAGGACTGCACAGACGCTCTTCAACAAAGAAAAGGGAAACTAATTAACACAGACACAGAAGATAATCTTGGACCCCTGAGCCTTGAAGGGAAGGATACA